GTAGAGATAATTCTGTGCATTACACAAAAATTTAGTTCCATATGACTTCCGATATTGGCTCGGATAATTGATGGAATTGCATCTTAAGAATTTCTTCTGATAAAATGGTTTTTACGGCTATACATCTGCAAGTGAAGAGAGAAAATACTGATTCAATTTAAAAGCAGATAGAACAATCCAAACGTACCCAAGAGCCGTAAGTGAACATGCAAAACATGATCTCGACCCATGTTCGATTCCAAATATGGGTACGGGAGCATCGCAAGGCGATAATTTACCCGGTCTTTTCTTCGGGCCTGATGTAGTTGGACCGACGGCCGGTGAACTTTCGGATCATCAAAAAAAAAAAAAAACAATCCAAACCTAAATCTGGGAAGAAAAATATCTCAAGTTCACAAAAGCTTAACTCCACATTTTTTTCACCACTATATGCTCCAGACACTTTGAAAAACTACTAATACCAGTTAATGATATCTCCAAAAACATGATTAGAAACAAAAAAAAAACACGAAGATTCGATATGCACAAAAATGATTTTCAATTCAAGTTAATTTAAAGGAAAACGTAGCATGGAGCCATAAAGGGTGAAAATTGCCTTGATGTTCATCCTAGGTCAGTAAAGTACTTTCACAGTTCAGAAAATTACAACTTTTAGTCAATTTGTTATGCATCGGTAAGTACCTCATTTCTGCAGCTTTGGCAGCCTTGGACTCCGGCAAGTGCAATTTCAATATAACAAGGCACTACGAAAAGGATAGCAGAGAAGTTAACTTTCAAAAAGCTATAACAATGCTTATATTAATAAACTTTCAAAGGCATTTTTTGTTCTTTTTCCTCCGGGATCCAAGTCCAACCATCAGAAAAATAAAAGATTTGATAATAGACAATAAATAGAAAACTCTAAATCTGAATCATGAGCCGAGGTCCTGTTTATATTTTCCGATGATCTGTCATAAAAGATCTCGTGTGCTAAGTTTCATGCATATGTGGTGCAATGTGCGATATTAACTAAGTTCCTATCACTACCTCACTTGGCGGCACATCCAAGATCCTTGAAGCAGCCAAGAGAATATCAGGAGCAGGTTTCGATTCTCAAAGGCATCGACAGAAACAATGGCATCAAACCTGATTATGGACAACACAAGCATATAGTAATGTGAAGCCTCATAGTGTAGAAAAGATGGATCTTCTGTTTGCAATATACATTGATGCGGTAGAAACCATAAAAAATTATTAAACTCGATTAAAACGGAAAACCCTTCAATGTTGACATGGAAAACCGCTTAAGAAGGTCTGGTAAACTGTTTGTCTTAAGACATAAACCAACTCTTCAGAAAAAGTGCCCAAATTTATACTGAGCAAAAACACTAAGGACATAATAAATAAAGAGATTAGATCCAATGAAGAATGCATTCAAGACATAATTATGAAGCAGTGGGTTTGGACATAATTGAGACTGTGTTCGACTCCAAACACAACCAAAGAGCAAAAATATTTGACGCACACTCAACAGAAGGAGAGTTCCAGGCTTACATGGACAAGGGCAAACCAGCGGCGGTAAGGTTTGCGCCGACTTTTATACGGTCAGCACTAGACGCAACAGCAACTTTTAGACCCTTGTTCTTACACTGTTCCAACAGTTTGTTAAAATCAAGTCGTGGCCAGAATGAAACAAGATATCAACTTTTGGTATTCTCACCTCAGTAGCAAGCTCAAGAGCTCCTGGAAATCCAATTCCTGGTAAAAGAACAACATGAATACGCAATTATCTCGTCAAAGAATTTGATAAACAGAATCACAGACTCTGATTATCGGTATATGTGAAAAAAGGGAAAATGTGTGCATAGGTTTTCAAAGTGGTACCGGTTGAAGGCTGATTTAACATGCTCAGTGATAAAACAAATGCGATCAGCACTCTCCTAATTGTTATGACCATGGCACAAAACACATATCCACTGTGAGAATCTTCAAATGCTAAGAAGTTGTGGCGGAGCTCTATGAGATCATGGGCAGGACAGTGTGAGACAAGGCCGCATTCGTGAAGCACTACACATTTGTTGTCCTAATGATACTCCTGCCTGTAAATTATTCTCGGTATCAGTAACAAATTTTTTGCAACTCTTCTTCGTCATTCACTTGGACATGTATATACTAAAAACATTAAGCAAGAAATGGCAGTTTATTCATACAAAATGGGTTTTGAATCCATGCAAATGTTTCTTATCAATTGTCTTGAACACTTGCCTTTTCATAGTTGCAAATTTACGCACTGATAAAAGATCCTACCTTATCGAGATATATTCCAAAGAACTTCTTTTTGGCTGCATCGGGACCAAATCCTTCTACCCCTTTAACGGAAGCAACACCTCCAAAGAATTTAGCTTCACCTGTAAATAACCAAAACAAATGCAAGGATGAAAATGATCACTCCACATAGTTATTTTTCATCTCCAACTAGGGGTGGGCGTTTCAACCCGTAACACGGGGGTTTGGGGGTACCCGGCTTAACAAGTACCCGGAGAAAGGGTACCCGGATATTAACGATGATGAGACCGGGTTTAACGAGGCCGAGTTTTTGACCCCCGGGTCCGGGTTCAGGTTTCGATTAACTCATAACGGGTACCCCCGGGTACCCGATATATTAATTAAAAATTAAAATATCTTTATATTTATAATATTTATATAAGGTATTTTATTATTTATTAAAATATTTTTATTTTATTTAATTATTTTCTATATTCTCAATCTTTCTAATTTATGAAATCGAATTTATAATTTATAAAATCGAGTTTTGAATGTTGTTTAAGTTATTTTTATTGAATTTTATAAATTATAGAATATTTGAATTATTTAATTATGAGATCCGGGTACCCGTGAGTACGAGACTGAGAATCTCATTGAACCCGAGTTAAGGGTACCCGGATCTCATGAAGCCAAGAATGAGATAATTTTTTCGTAAAACCCGTGATGATGAGACTGAGATCGGGTTTCCTAAAAAATGGGGGTACCCGACCCCGTGCCCACCCCTAGCTACAAGTACCCGGATTTTATGAAGCCAAGAATGAGATAATGTTTTTGTAAAACCCGTAATGATGAAGACGAGACGGGGTTTTCTAAAAATTGGGGGTACCCGACCCGTGCCCACCCCTACCCACCCCTAGTGTGTACATGAACTAGGGGGGAACTGTCTTAAACAAAAAAAGGAACAAACCAAAGTGAAACACTTGAAAGACAACTAAAGAGAAACCACATCCTAATGAACAGAGAAACTACATTGTATTCTGCGAGACAAAACATAGGATTAATCTCAAATCAAAATCATCATCAGCTAGTTATGCACATATCAATCGTTAGAATGGCGTTTTATCTGAATAGATTACTGCTTCTTCGGCTGCTCGATGGGAAAGTTCTCCTCAGCCTGTTTCCACCACAAGAAATTGGCTGCCTCGATCCACCCTGGATGAACCAGAAACTTCTTCTCTTTTATCGCCCACCGAGACTTCTCTGTTCCAACATCCGTAGCCACGACGTGTGTTACCGATGGATCCACGTCCGCCGAGCAAGTGGCCCCGAGTTGCTCAGCCATCTTCCACAGATGATGGCTCGCGGGTTTGCAGTGGGTCGGGATTACCCGGCTGAAGACAATTTTGCATCCTTTCAGGATCTCTTTCCGCACTTCCTTAAGCGCCAACATCACGTCTCTACCGGAAAGATTGTCATCGTTAATGCCCTCGAAGAATATACTGTGGACTCGTTTCAGGACTTTAAGGACAGTGGCAAGTGCTCCATCGGTTTCGCTTTCATCACTCTTCAACTGTGAAAGAGACTTGAAGTTGTGGCCAAACTGTTGGCAACTCGACGCGAAGAAGTGATACCTCTCCATCAAAATCAGATTGTCCTTATGCTTCGGCCAAGCATTCTCTGAGTCGTCGAGAATCAAAACCACGCTTTCTTGCCCCAGCACAATGTCGAGACTTTTCTGGTGTTTCACCGTACCATCATCCCGGGAAATGATCCGATCACCAAAGTACTCTCCTTTCGGATCGAGGAGCTTAGCCATTTGCCGGGCATAAGGCCTATCGCCCATTGTGTATATATACAACTCAAACATCTCACTCGCTTCACTCAGAAATGATCGGACAAAGGGTCTCAATTTCGTCATCATGTGCATAAACTCCAACAAGAAGAGGCTTCCTCCCGACACATCTTGGAGAGAATGTGCTCGGCTCCTCAAGTACTCTTCCTCAGGTGTCATATGCATAAGTGTGGTCGAATTGAGAAGCGTGTGGTCTAGATCGAGAACCAGACACAGCTTCCGACGACGTATCAATAATCTCATGTCCGAATCACGTAACCTAGCAACTTCTTCAGGATCAAGCCTTATACCCTTGTGTATGTACCCAAAGGCAACACCAGATTCCTCCAACTTTTGCCCACAGACAAAACATATACCTCCGAACGAGCCCGGATGCTCGCACTCGTTCACGCTCGAGCTCGTTACTGCTTTTTCTTCCTCTGCAATCGCCACTGAAGCCGAACTCTGAATGTCCTCAACAGTCCCAGCGTGTTCAACCCTGCGCCTTTTGGATCTATTAAGCTCCAAATCTTCAGATTCAGAACCATCGTCCCCGTTTTCTTCATTGGGCGACGATTCAGAAGAATCAGAACCAGACTGAAGCTCCGCTTCGATAATGGCGGCGAAATCGTCACTGCTCGACGAGTGAACAGGAGAATCAGGACTCACAAGGCTCATCTCTTTCGTCGATATCTTCGACAACAGAATCTGCAAGAGATGAAAGAGGTCTTTCAAATTATGAGAACGATCGAGATTCGAATCCGAATGGAAACCGAAATGAGTAATAACAATCCGACATCGAACTCAGGGTCCCTGATTTTTGTTGCTAGGGGGATTCAAGGAAGATTTGGGGGTTTACAGATTCAGAAAGAACCCAACAATCAGAAAGAACTCAGGGAGCTTCGTTTTTCAGCGCTCTTGTCCCGGCGCAAAAATATAATATAATATACCAATTAATAAAATAGAAAATTCCAAAAAAAAAACATTGAACCTAACGTGAAAAAGTTGTACCAATTACAAGTTTTTTTACAATTTTTTATAATTTTTATAATTTTTACAATTTTTTTATAATTTTTCAATGACGTGTGTATCCGCTACAGTAGCTCGTTAATACATTTCACATAAACGTAACTTTTATGAAGATTTTGTTAAAAATTTAAATTCTAAATAATTTTTTAGAAAAGAATAAAATTTTAAATTCAATATATATATATGAATATTTTAAAAATTCGTGATGAATTTATTAGTTATTAGATGATTTTTTTGGTAATTTCCAATGCAACAAGGTTCTGAAAAAACTTTTTAAATAAAAATTAGCATACCATCGTATTTGGTTTGAATTTAAATCGACCTAAGCCAAGTTCGGTTTTTAATTTAATTTTAATTAAAAATGTTTGTTAATTATCCATATTTGATTTTAACTCAGCCATCGGGAACTAAAAGAAAAAAGTTTTGAAACTTGCAACGACAGGTTGCAAAGGTTTTTCCATCAGCAACCAAGAGGAATTTGGAACTCTGCAAATAGAGATCAACATGGTCAACATCTACGCTAAGGGGAGTACAAATTCAATCTCGAACAGAAAACACAAATTCCATTGAACTCTAGATCAGTTTCCGCTTACAGGATCCGAACAAATCGAAGACCGACAGAGAGACGCTGGAGAAGAGAGGGTCGACGGGAGACGACAGACACGAACTCGCCGGGAGCACAAACTCGTCGGAGATACGAGGCAGACACGAACTCGTCGGAGGATGACACAACGGAGCTGGAGACGACACAACCGGGGAGACGCCGGAGAGGAGAGGTCAGAGTCGCGAGCAAACCTGGGTCGAGGACTGTATTATGGCACGAAAATTTTTCTGGCGCCTGATGTTTGGAATAGAACTTTGGGAATTTAGGGATTTGGATTTTATCTGGTTCAATCTTCGGTTTAAGTTTAAACTTTTAATTTAGGTTAAACCGGTTCAATTGTCGATTTCGATTAATGATGACGTGTAATACACGTGTCAAGCTTTCAGATCCATGGTGGTAAAATTGAACCAATCTGGGTATTTATTTTTCAATTTGGAAATTGTGGTTTTTATTTGGAACATTTTGAGTATTTATTGGGATTTTCCCCTTGTTTTTTAATTCAAATTTGACGCTCATAAATTCGATAACTTAAAAATTTGATCAAACTGGTCAAATATTTTATTTGAGAGCGTTTTTAAGGTTTTTGGGGAAACGTGATGCAAGTTGAGATTTTTTTTTTTGACAATTCTGCACATTCGAATTTGTTTTTGTCATATATTTTAGCAAGTTTAGTGTTTCTTTTTATAAAAAGAAATAAAATTAGAAGAAAAAAATTCAGATTTTATCAATCTGGAAAACTACCATATATAAAATATCTAACTATGGAAAAAATACGGATTTAATGCTGAATTGTTATTTATTACTAAATTTTTATATAAAATCTAATTTTTAAAATTTTAACATATATATCTATCATAGTTATTATTCTACGACAAAAAACATGATATTAGACTTTTTTTTATAATCTAGAAGTTCATCGTTCGACTACATTTTCAGAAAATCGGAGAAGTCCATATGAATGTCCATGCGTGAATATTTAAACATGGATTAGAAGAAGTTTTGTTTCTTTTCTTATCGGTTGAGTCATCCAATCTTAGGTTCGTCATGTTAAACTTGTCATATTAAAATAAATAAAAATAAAATAATAAAAAACATATTAAAATATTAAATTGAAATAATAAAAATTATATTAAAATAAAAAAATACAATTTTATATAAACATGTATATACATACATATTATAAATACACATATATACGTATAAATATACAAACATATACATATATATATATGTATAGATATATATATATATACATATGAATATATATATATATGCACATATATATGCACATACATATACTGATATACATATATCATTTCTAATTTTGATACCATATATACGTCCACAAAAGAAGAATCCAATTTACATGTAGGGATGTAAAACGGGCTGGTTCGACCTAGTTCAGTCCGACTCATTTTGATCTGGAAAAATTTTAGTCCAGACTAGTTTAACCCATTTTTTAGTGAGCCAAAAATATATCAGTCCAATTCATATCGTCTTAATCAATGAATCAAACGAGTCGACCCGTGAACCAAATATATAAATTTTAAAAATAAAATTTTAATATTAAAAAAAGTTTAAAAACAAATTTAATATTTAAAATATTTAAAATTTAAACAAAAATAAACTAAATATGTAATAAAAATATAATTTGTATATTAAAAATATTTTAAAATATATAAAAATATTAAATTTTAAAAAAAATTCTGGTCTGCAAACCAACCCGACTCGTGAGAACTAGTTTGTTTGGCCCGGTTTTTTTTTTCTGGACTCAAATATTTGGAATCCGATTGGGAAAAAATATGGATTGACTCACGAGTCAATCTGCGAACCGCGACTCGTTTTACATCCCTAGTTACATAGACGAGGATCGAGTAATTGGCTAACACGTAATATCCGCAAGTTTGGATCAATAGAGTTGAGAATTCGGTGAAATTACAGAATTACTATAAATATTTTAAAATTTACAAAATTATTATTGATTTTTTTTCAAGTTATATAACTATTAGCTGTTAGGCCAGTTCGATTTTTTCTATCTATGTAATCAAATCCAAGAACATGAACACAAAAAGATAGATCTCTAAAAAGAAATTCCAAAATAAAACTCAATCTTAAGAAAAAAAAGACAGGATTCATGATTAATTAATTATGTGAATTCAAGAGATAGATATATGTATTTTGTGGAGGAAAATTGGAGAATAAAGAGGCGAGTTGGCGAAAGCGAGGACACGAAAAGAATGCTCTTTCTAGTTTGTCTTGAGTTCTCAAGCCAAGCAATAGTTTAAAGGGCCATTTTATTTTGGAATATAAGAGGATTTAAAGGCTGCTCACATCCAACATCTTTCAATTAACCTTTCAACTCTTTCAATTTTTAACCAAACACCAAAACTAGTTGAAGCATCATCTTCATGCCAAAATAGATGATAGTTTGCAAATGTGACAGAATTTAGAACAAATAAAAAAATAAAAAAAGTACTATAATTAGAAAGAATATACTGTAGTGTACACAAACCCCCATAATAAAGTAATTTACAGAAGAAATCGTCGAATAAAACCACAAATCTTTTCTCTCTCAAAGTATTATCATTTATATATTAATATATCTTCTGGGCTTATCACATTAGGAATTTAATTGATCGGTTATTCAAAATAAAAATTTATGTATTTAAACGTATAGAAATTAGAAAATACAATTTGATGTATTAAAAATACATAAAAAGGATTTCAGTTTTAATTTTATTTATTAAAAATAATAGTGTAAAAAATAGTATTACGATTTATTTGCTACATATGTACTATTTTTATATGCGTTTCTATACAATAGTAGGTTTGAGTTTCACATTTATTTAACGCAAATGTTATATAAATATACAATTAGTTAAAGTATTTTTAAAAATATATGTAAATTTTGAAAATTTCAGAAAAACACACACTAAACTAATCGATTAATTTTTATAAATAAAAATATCACAAAATCTTAAATCAATTAACGTCTATATCTAAAAAAATGATAGAATTTCAGATAATTGATATATTTTATTTAAAATTTCATAAATATTATTTTTTTATAATATTATTTTTTGAAAAAAATTCATTTATATAGATTCTTCTTCATTGTATGCTTATTTATTTTAAAAAAATATTAAAGAATCTGTACGATCTTTTTACTTTTAATTTAATTTTCAACATAAGTTATTGAAATGGATAATGGTTTCTATTCTTTCAAAGTTTTTTTTCTATAATTAAATATAATTAATTTAAAAAATATATATATAAAAGTATCTGAAATTATAAAAAAAATTCAAATATATATAATTTTTTATACATAAAAATTAACTATTTAAAATTTTTATACAAACGCATTAAGCTTTCGAATCTTAAAAGTATTATGTAACAATTAAAGTATCTATATTTAAAAAATAATTGAATTATTAATAACAATGAAATTTATATATTTAATATAAAATTTGTTTAATAATTTAAAATTTATTTATTTATATGAAAATTTAAATAGTAATATACTTATTCGAAAGAAAAGTCTATATATTTATCAGGTTTTTAATACATAGATGTATTATGATTTTCTGTAAAATAAATATACAATTAAACTGAAAACTAGATTTTATAAAAAGTTTGTTTTATTTTTCTCTTTTGTATGTTAATAATTGCACGAATTAAGTTTGAATAAGGTGAATACGTAATATATGTATATATATACATATATAAACAACGCCAATTAATCTTTTACTTGGTAAGTAAATAAAATCATAAATAAAATATAGACTTGTAGAGTAAAAAATAAAACAAATTAAAATTTATAGTCAGTAAATAAAATGTTTTTATTTTGGTTGAAGTAAATAAAATGTTTAGAATTTTCAATTGGTTTGACATCCTGTGTACGAACAAACCAACCATTCTTCTTCTTCCCTCTCGACGTATCATCAACGGATCCCTGCTCCAGCTCCGACCTAGTTCTTCTCTCGATCCTTTCCCAGTACAGAGAGTATTCGATTTCGAATCTTCATTTTATTTGCTTCTTCGGTCCATGGATACGGATCAGCTCATCCGTTTGTCTTCGTCTTGAATTCTCACCTTCCGTAGATCGGATCGTTTCCGAATTTTAGGGGTTTTGGGAGATCTGATCGGAGAAAAGGTTGTTGTTGGAATGGCGAGGAATAGATCGGACAGTGGTTATGCCTTGTGGAGGTATTTCAGTCCCGCGTTTTATCTCCGAAGGCCGAGGCGTTTGGCTTTGCTTTTCATCGTGTTCGTGTCTGTATCCATGCTGGTCTGGGATCGTCAAACTCTTGTCCGAGAACACGAGGTATGTTTTGTCTTGTGCTTTTTGTGGTGTTCGTCAAACCCGTGTGATGAACTCGTAGTACTTTTGTCTCTGGTCGTTTAGTATGAGGGTACATTCTTGAATAGCTTTAGTAGTTTATTAGCTTCAAGGAATGTAAAAGAGTCTTAGACATTGTTGTCTGTCATCTATATATAGAGATACTATTCAATGTGACGAAGAAGATTCTCGTGAGGTTTAGACCCATCTCAGAGCCTAATGGAAGCAAGGTTCTCAGATGCATATGAGGGTGCTGTTTCGATTTTCCAGAAGTAAATGAGACGATACTTCTTGAGCCCAATTCTTATGCTCGATTTAGTTCGGGTAAACATCAACTAATTACTAGAGAAGTCAGACATGTTCTTTTAACTGAAATGGGCTTGCTCTTGGGTATGCTCGGTAAGAAACTAAAAGAATCTTCCCTACCAATTTCTAGAGAATCAGATGATTTAGGGATGAGAAGATATACCTCTTTTTGTACATTAGAAAGTGAATGCATCTTTAGATAATTTACCCCTTCCCCAGATGTGCAGGTGTCTAACAAGTATGCTGACGTGCAGGTTGAAATCTCTGAGTTAAATGAAGAAATATTCCAGTTGCAGCAGGCGGTAAGCTATTTCTTCTCTCCCTAGTTATTGATATTTTTGGTATTTTTAATAACCACAATCTCCCCCTTCCCCGCCTTTTCCCTCTTCTTGCTGCTCCCTAATTGCCCTTGAAATATCATACATGTTGAGATTCAGGCATCTTTGTCAGCATTATGGATGTCGAGACCAATTTGTTTTTTTGCATCACTCTTACTAGCTTTGCCTCTATTGAAGCTCGAGAAATTATAGGGGTTTATAGTGGTTTCAATTTCTCTCTAAATTATTATACTTTTTGCTAGCTGGAAGAGCTAAAAAGCATTGGCGGGGATGTACCTCTAAAGATACTGAAGAATGTTGAGGACAATCCAATTGATATCCAGCGCAGACAAAAAGTGAAAGAAGCAATGATTCATGCTTGGAGTTCGTATGAAAAATATGCCTGGGGAAAAGACGAGCTTCAGGTATAGGACTATTTCTAGATAAAGTTCACTCTTACCACTACATATATCTCTGAGTCTTACTTAACCATGATAATTTGTAATTGGTTTTGAAACTTTTTTATAAGACTTTGTGCTATGAACTTAGCTCAACTGCCCACATTTTCCAATTTTTTGTTTAATGAATTGTTGTGCTTTCTTGGTCACGATAATCTTTTTCCTTTTACTTGCTGAACCTCTTGTCATTATCAGCCGCAGACAAAGGATGGTGTTGACAGCTTCGGTGGCCTTGGAGCAACCCTGATAGATGCATTAGATACACTTTATATAATGGGTCTAGATGAGCAGTTTCAGAAAGCCAAAGAGTGAGTAAATTTTCTTTCATCCTTCTTATTTTCGGGAGTATTTCTTTCTGGCATAACTGGCTGAGAATGGTTGATCAAGCACAATAAATCCTTCTGCTATACATGTTGGGTTCAATATTTACCTGACTGTGGAGTAAATGTAGAACTCACACAGCTAAGCTGGTCAAGAGAATTTCTGTACTAGTTATATTTTTCTGGCATTAGTTGCTGGCTGCTCTTGATATAATGAATCCCCTTACCTTCTGTGTCATCTATATGTTTTCTTTTCCACTATTTGAAGCGTAACTTCCAAGTATTCCTATCCTTCTACCCAAACTTCATTTGGTTATGATCTTTTCTTTGCAGATGGGTAGCTACCTCACTAGATTTCGACAAAGATTACGACGCCAGTATGTTTGAGACAACCATAAGGTTGCATTTCACAGGTTTACCATGTGGTTGTTTTCTGTACCTGTAGTAGGAAGTCATTTCATTCACTTGGGTTTGAGTTAACAGAAAGCCTGTGATGGATTCATTGGATCCACTGGCAAACTTTCTCTTTGCTGGGTTTCAGAGTAGTAGGTGGACTTCTTAGTGCATATGATCTTTCTGGGGACAAAATTTTCCTTGATAAGGCTAAGGATATTACCGACAGATTGCTGCCTGCTTGGGACACCCCTTCAGGCATACCTTATAACATTATCAACCTGAGACATGGAAATACTCATAATCCTACATGGGCAGGGGTGAGTTCTTGGATTATTGACTGTCCTGTGTTTTGTATTACCATCTGAGGGCATTCAGTACTGCATTGTGTAGATCTCTTCAAAGCTTTTAGCTTTGAGATCCTTACTTGGAGATGAACATTGTTTACATGCCTGTAAATCTTCTCCTACTTAGAGATACTAACTATGCACTTCACCAACAGAAGTTAAACTTTTTGTCTGCCCCTTGTGCCATGGTTGACCTAGGATATTGAAACTTGCTTCTCACGGACCTGTTTAGAGGTTACTGACAGCTTGAAATTAAGTTCTAACCACTTTCTTAGAAGCTTTAGCATCCTTTTATAAGTAAAATCGTCAACTAAAACAGGCTGTTCTGGTTTTCACTTTATGCACCATTGACAGTTCCTTCATGACTGCTCAGTTTGCATCTGTACGTGGAAAGTTTTTTGAAAATTGTTGTTAGTTGGATTTGACCATTCCCCGGTTTTTAGAATACACAAAAAATGTTAATCTCCTTGGCCTACAAGGTCTCATTTCACTATTGAGCTCATGTGATGTTTCACTAGTGGGTATTGGATCTGATTGGTCATAGATGTGCATTCTCGGCTGCATGTTGTCTATCAGTTAAGTTTAATTTTACTTTCTTTGTTGTTTTAGGGAGACAGTATTCTTGCAGATTCTGGCACTGAGCAGCTCGAATTGATTGCCCTTTCTCAGAGGACCGGGGACCTAAAGTATCAGCAGAAGGTGCATATCTCTGTTTCTTGTAGTATACTTGTTTTTTCACAAATCAACTTCTTCATTGCTGGAAAGACTGGGATTTTCGAAGATCTTTGTGCCTAAACGAGATTATTTCTGGGGCTTAATTCTCTCGATTTTCATTATACCATGGATGTGAAAGAAAGCAATGGTTTAGGATATACATACTATCATCTTGCCAAAGAATATGCAACTCAGTGTCAGTGATTGCCTCTTTGTTTATCTGGTGTTTCAGGTAGAAAAGGTTATTTCAGAACTAAATAAAAACTTCCCTGCTGATGGTTTACTTCCCATATATATAAATCCCAATACAGCTACCCCGTCATACTCTACCACAACATTTGGTGCCATGGGAGACAGGTGAGTTTTCAACTGGATTTCTTTTCCTGCTATCATTTTCTGTTCGTCATCTTTTCTCAAATCCTTATTTATTTTGAAAAAGATAAAAAGAATATGTGACCTATTCAGTTTTTCTATGTTTTCATATTTTATGACTATTTCTCTTTTCACAGCTTTTATGAGTACTTGCTCAAAGTTTGGATACAAGGGAACAAAACTTCAGAGGTGAAACACTATAGGTAATTTTATCCAAACTGGATATATTAGCACGCGTTTAATCTGGAGAATGAAACCTCTTGGAGCTACATGCATGTGGACTCTGCAATTGTAATCAGCTCCCATGGAAACATAAACTGTTTTAAGTTTGTAATTTCAACATTTCTCGATACAGATATGATAATAACTAGTCTATGTTTGTGGTATGAATCTTTGGCGTCAGAGAAATGTGGGAGAAATCAATGCAAGGTCTGTTAAGCTTGATCAAGAGGTCAACACCTTCATCGTTTACATATATCTGTGAGAAGAATGGAAATTCTTTGACCGATAAGGTAATCGTTTGTTTTTTTCCACCTTATTCTGCCTACTCAAAGAATTTTGTTGTTTGATATTTTTAGTCTCTTGTTAATATATCCAGATGGATGAGTTGGCATGCTTTGCTCCTGGAATGTTGGCCTTAGGATCATCGGGTTATCCATCCGACGAAGCCCAGAAATTTCTCTCACTTGCTGAAGAGGTATCATCATTATTGGTTGTAGGATATTCATCGTCGAAGTTTCTGCTTTTATTTATATGCTTCTTAAGCTTTCCTTCTGTTCTAAAAATTTCGGGAACTTAGCCTTTGTCGCTATGTGGTTCACTTGTCCGCAGCTTGCATGGACCTGTTATAACTTTTATCAATCGACACCAACGAAATTGGCGGGGGAGAATTATTTCTTTAATTCTGGGCAGGTAATCATTCGTTTTTTCTTAAATACACAGATTATTTTATTGGTTAGTTTATTTCTCTTAGTGTAAACTGAAGATGCGTGATTGGGTTCAGGACATGAGTGTGGGAACATCTTGGAATATCTTGAGACCAGAAACCGTAGAATCATTGTTTTATCTCTGGCGTTTCACTGGAAACAAGACATATCAAGAGTGGGGTTGGAACATTTTCGAAGCATTCGAGAAGAACTCCCGAATAGAGACCGGATATGTTGGCTTGAAGGATGTAAGTATATACATATCACCTTTTTTGTGTCCTACTACCAGGTAGGGGTAGACATGGGCAGTTATCCGGTATTTTTGAACCATAGGGTTTCTCTGTTAGGGATACTCGGTCTCAACCTCGAGACCGTTATGTACCCACAGGGTGTGGCTGAAAGCTTGGTATCCGACCGGCAAGGGTAAGTGAGAGAGGGGCAAGGCTGAGGCTCCTCTACGAGACCCTAAACTGCCTCCCCCGCCCTTTCCCCATTGGCTCGCCCTCTTTCTCTCTCATTCTCGCCTCTCCTCCTTTGAGCTCGGTAACCTGTGGGTTTGGTTTTTCGGCCCCAAAACCCGATCTCAAACGCAAAGCTTGGGTTTCCAGAGGGGACGCACATGATCTCTTGCTCACAGTGGCTCGGGTACCCGGTTTTCGGGTAGTCAAGACAACCCGTGCCACGAGGCATCACCGCGATAATTTAGAGTGTGAATTCGGATTCATATCTTACGTTCTTTGATTTTCAGGTTACCACGGGAGCGAAGGACAACAAAATGCAAAGCTTCTTTTTAGCGGAGACGCTGAAGTATATGTACCTTCTCTTCTCCCCCTCCAATGTCATTCCCTTGGACGAGTGGGTATTCAACACAGAAGCTCACCCTCTGAAGATCGTGACTCGGAGTGACTCGGTGAGTCTCGGGCAATCAGAGGGTGGTGGCTCCATGCGTAAGCCGCCGATTAAGTTGCGGCCGAGGCGGTTCGGACGGATACACGATTAGTAAGACTTCTTCACAGTGAAGCATCATCCTCTTTACTAAGAGCAATGTGGCTTTGGTCTGTGTTTTTGTTTTTGTTTTCACTTCTAGGAAATGTTTAAGAAAAGTTTTCGAAGCTTTGAAACACAAATTACTATTGTTGTATTAGCTGGAATCTTTCCATAATATTTGCTCGGATCAAATTTGACACTTTTATTTCCAAAAAACAAGTTACTGTTGTATATGTATTTTCACATTTCTACAGGAACATATATATATATATATATATATATATAAGAATTTAGGTTTCATTTTTTTAATTGATAAGATGATTTTATGACCTAGTAAATTTAGGTGATGTGGGGATGATACAACACTGTGTCACGGATTTGGAAAAATATTTTCCAAATTTCGTTGAATATATCAATTTTGAAAAAATTATATATATTTTTGTTAAATTTAATATATATATATATATATTACCTTTTGTATAATTGATATATTTCCCCCACCTTTATTTAAAAATGCCTAGTTATTAAATTATATTAATATGATTTTACCAACTTGCAACTGTGTCTTTGTCCGTAAATTCATGTATCAGTTTAAAATCATTAAAATGTGCCATATATATATGTATATGTATATATGGGTTAAAACACACACACACACACATATATGTATGTATAGACCGATCGGAAAATTTTATAATACACAAAAAGGTGAATGTGAACATTCACTGTAACTAGGAATTATTTAAAAAAACTCGAAGCATACCTTACTTATTATAAACAATAATTATATAAGTCAATTTCAAATGAATAAGATAATAATTATTAACAATAGTGATTTTGGTACTCCAAAAAAATTACAGTTTTTCTGGATTTTCTTTATATTTATATTTCTCGTAACATACCACCCTTATTAAAATTGAATTAAGTTGGATAAAAAAAAAAGCGAAGAAAAATATTACGGGACGTTATTTATTAAATATATATATATATATATATATATATATATATATATTACGGGACGTTGTCGTATTGGCTTTTGTTTCTTCGGAGACGTCACAAGTTTACGTACGTTCGCGCGAAGGGAACGATTTTCAGATTCCGCGTTCCTAGACAGAGAAGCAAATTCATTTCACGTGAATAATGTAACGAAATCAAAATCTAACCTCTAAGAGAATGTGTAGTTGACCCAAACGCCACGTCACCACAAATTCAAATCAATAAACAAGGGTTACGTGGCAGACCGACGCGACGGTCCAACATCAACCACAAAACCTTTCTTTTAAAGAAAAAAAAATATCAGAGGCTCATGTGCGTTTGTGTTCATTAGCTTCTGAGGTCTGCCATTAATGGCCACTAACACCCATCAAAAGCCCCACCGCTTTTCTCTCCCAGGAACATCTCCCCTTAAATCTCTCCCTCTCTCTCTCTGCCCATCGCAGTTCCATCGAATCTCTCTTCCTCCACAGATTCTCTCTCGCTCTTGCTCTTGATTTCTTACACGTTTTTGAAGAAGACCCCTCATCACCACTGAACCTGAGATCGACCTCATCGCATCGCATCTCATCGCCATGGGAGGAGAAGGAGAAGCTCGAGCGAGGGTCAAGCTCTGCGAGCTGTGCGATTCCGAAGCTGAGCTTCACTGCGCCGCAGACTCCGCCTTCCTCTGCCGCTCCTGCGACGGCAAGATCCACTCCTCTAACTTCCTCGTTGCCCGCCATCTCCGCCGTTTCCTTTGCCCTAATTGCAAGTCCCTCACCGGAAACCTCGTCTCCGGCGCAGAGATTTCCCCTCAATCCCCCCGGAAAATCCCCTGCTCTAGATCATGTTCTTCGATCTTACCCTCTTCTCCTTCTCCTTCTCCTTCTCCTTCTTCCTCTTCCTCTTTCTCTTGTTGCTCGTCTGTGGATTCCGCCTCCAGCTCCGAGCTCTCGTCTACGGCGGCTGGATATGATCGGAAGGCGATGAGGAGAAATCGGCGGAGGGATGGTCGCGTTTGCGGTCGCGGTCGCGGTCACGGTCACGGTCGCAATCGCGGCGAGGAGGATGGCGTTTTCGTAAATTGGTGCGAAAGCTTGGGGCTGAGAGGGAATTCACGAGACGGCGTCGTATCGTCAGCGTCTTGGGCTATGCGGGTGATGATGGAGAAGCCGATGGTGGCGGTGTTTCCGTACAAGGTGTGCTTAACGGCGTCGTTTTGGTTCGGGATGAGAGTTGCGAGGGAAGCGATGATGACGTGGCAGAATCTGAAGAGGTTGCAGGAGATCTCCGGTGTCCCCGGGAAAACGATCGTGGCCGTTGAAGTGAGGATCTCACGCGCTTTAAGGCAGTGCCGCGTGGACCTGCGGGAAGGCTGGGCGGAGACTGAAGGCGCGACTTGAGAGTTAGCTTGACGTCCACGGGATTTACAATTAACCGAAGTTGACTTGTTTTGTTTTTAGATTTGATTTTTCGATTTCTTATGATTTAACTTAGTTTATGTAGGAGATATGTTTTTATAACTTTAAATTAGCCGAAATATTCACCAAAACTCTTCAATTAATTACTTTCTCAATTCTGGTTGTATTAAAGTTTTTTTTATATGTGAAAAATCTCAAATAAACTTTTGTTTTTCTGTTGCCGATAAATAGAAGATAGCGAGAGATAGAGATGGATACTTGAAAAGAAAAAAAAAAACAAGAATAATTGTTTTCTTTCAAAAGTTGATGAAACTACCACCGATCACAAAAGCATTTATTGAAGGTCGATATTTTCTTCGATTTCGGGTTCTTTGTTATTATAAACGAAATATTCATTTTACAAAATATTTTTCATGTTTGGTCTCAATTAATTAGTTTTAAAAAAAAGAAAAAAATTCAAAATAATACATAAATTTGTCAATTTTCACAAAAACAAAACCTAAACTTTATTTTTCATTTTTCAATAGAAAATAAATTCCAATTTTATAATCCTTATAATTTTTAAATCTAATTTTCGTGTATGGAAAGTATCTGTCACATCATTATAAATATATCTCGATATCGAACTTTAATTTTTACTAAATGAAACCTCGATTTTTTTAGTTCTGTCATTGCTTAAAATTTATGTACAAACCGACTTTTTCAATACAATAATTATTTTACAACATTATTTTTTACTGTGAAAAAGTAATGATTTTGTCAAACGAATCACTTTCAACCACTTGTTTTGGCAATTGTGGAGTCATTACAGATTCTCTATCTAGTAGAAAAACTCTTCACTTTTTGTTTTGTCCAAATAATTATGGATTTAAAAGGAAATATAAATATTTTCAAAAAGTTCTGATAAATGCAAGGAAACAGAAGATTTATTTCAAACCCTACTACACTTATAAGGGTTTAAGCCTCCTATAATTCAGTTTCAAACACTACTTTAATTGGGTATCTCTTTGTTACTTTGATCTCTCTCTCCCATGGAAACTCTCTTTACTTCAGTTTACATCTCCAGTCTCCCGGGGACGAAGCCTTCTTTGCGTTCTTCTCCCTCTTCGTCTCCTCCTTCTTCTTCGTCTTCTTCTCTGTTTTCATGTTGCTTGTGCAATCGTCCGACCAAGCGAATCACCGAACTGAGACTCAGCCGTGGATCGGCTCATGGGTTCCGTCTGCGGGCCCTCTTGCATGGCGAGACTCGAAGCGAAGGAGATGATAATTTGGCGGGGAGTAATGGGTTTGACTTGTTTTCCGGTGATATTCTCTCTTTATCTCAGGTGAGTTTCGTCGATCGTGTAATTGTTGGAATCATCCCCAGTAATTGAAGTATGCCTTCCAATGTTACGAAAGCCATCAAATTTTGTTCTGGGTGTGTACGTATACGTGGAATTCTTATAGTTGTGTTTGCTTTGTACATGTTATACTTAGTTATAATGGTATTGAGTTTCAATGCGACCGCTTAATCTGTGGATAGTGCACATTGGGTTTCTTGCTAAAGTTGCTTATTTCCGAGTATTTGTTGGATTTGTGGTTGGTAACTGATCGTGTGATTTCATTGGCGTGAGATTGATTGCTTTCTATGTGTCATGAAGGAAAAGGTAAAGGGTGATCAAAGTGGTGAAAAGGATGTTGATAAGGCAATGGATTTGGAAACATCTCTTGTGCTTCCTCATGGGGTTGGGAAGGGAACTCGAGCCGGGCTTTTTAGAACACCGATTTCCGGTGGAGTTCAGAGTGCAACCTCGGTTCATGGGCTACCTCGGCCAGCTTTAGCTGTCCGAAATTTGATGGAGCAGGTAAGGGTTATGCTCTAGTGGGTTGGTTTCTTTTACTTCACAGGACAAAGATCTTGAAGTTCTTTTTTGTTTTTCTGATCTCGGGGTTTATGATCCAAGGCCAGGTTTGCTCAACTATGCACTTTGATGTCTAAGATTCACCACCACAGAGAAGGGTACCCGTTTGGTTCTTTGGTAGATTTTGTGCCTGATCCCATGGGCCGTAAGTCAATCGAATCTATCGGGTTTTTTATTCCTGCTTATGATTTTTTGCCATTGCCTCTTCTTTGTGTCTGGTATTTCTCCAGAACGCTGCTACTTTTACGATATGTTGACCTGCTAGTTGTTGAGTTCTGTTTGTAAATATGCTGCACTTTTTGCGAGTTTATGGGTTTAACGTGGAGTCTGTTCACATACATTCTTGAGACCTAGCTTCCTTTTAAGATCTTGTCTTCTTCCCTTTGCTTGCTCTCACACTCTTCATGTACATCTCGAGATTTTTATCAATATGGTTAGTACTTAGTGTTGAAGGTGACACTGTCATTTTTTATTTATGCTGGCTAATTTTGTACTGATTTCGTGGTAGAAACTTGACAACTATTTAATTCCGCATGTGTATACACATTTGATGATGTTTTGTGCATGTTGGTTTCCAGATCCAATATTCTTGTTTTCGCCTTTGGCTATCCACACACGAAATCTCTTGGCGGAACCAAGATGCAGTCTTGTTGTTCAGGTAATTTTCTTTAACTTGCTTAATTGTTCTGGAGCAGAGGATGATTCTCTTTGTTTGTTATTTGTGTGACTCGTGGATTTGGTTTGCAGGTACCTGGATGGAGCGGCTTATCAAATGCAAGAGTAACACTCTTTGGTGATGTCTACCTATTGCCTGAAGATCAACAGGCGGGGCGTCCATTGTTTAACTGTGTTTCATAATTGTTATTAAGTCCAGCATAATCTGAAAACATTGTAATAATTCGTCTTTACATTATTGGCTCTATTCCGGATTATTGATCTGAATTTTGTTTCTCCGGCTTGTTAGGTGTGGGCTCATAAGCAGTATATCGCAAAGCATCGACAAGGGCCTTCCCAGCAATGGGGAAATCTATACTATTTCAGAATGCAGAACATAAGGTTTGCTTGTTCTTTCTTTCTTTCATTGTTTTGTTCATTGATGTGATGTGTGAATGAATATGATCCGTGCTTCGTTATTTGCATGACGTTCTAATATGCATTGACGTGGAGATGATTATGACTCTCGTTCATTTATTGACACTTGGAGGATTGAGATTTTCGTTATCTTTTTACCTTGGTGCCGATTGAGATAAGTGGCTTATCGTGATCTGTCTTGCTATCTTCGATCACCATCTTGGATGCTTTCTGTCTGGCTCCATATTCTGGAAACTCCATCTTCATTTTCTGTATGTCAAGTAAGATGTTAGACAAGAACCAGTGCATGCTATGCTAACTTGTTTTTACCACACCCCCTCTTAGAAAATGCATGTTACAGATGCATTTACCGTATATATATATATATATATATGCACACACACGTTTTCTTTGACTTGTCTTGACAATTGCACGCGGGGAAATGATCACAGGGAAGCGTTAGGGCTTTTCCTCTTTGGTTTATTCTACTTAGCCACTTCATAGTGTGCAGTAGTCAAGGAATGTGACTATATGAATTGTTATCAGTGACATCTATTTCATCGGAGGGTTTGGCACCGTTGACTGGGTCAATGTCAAAGAGTACGAGGCCCTTCAGCCTGATAAGATAGCTGTCGATGGCGGTGATCAAAATCTCAAGGCGGGTATTATCATATTCTCTTGCTGTTATCATCTGCTACCCGGCATGTAATGAACTCTTATTTTCCCTCTAAAAAAATACTCGCAGGAACTGAATGGCATCTTCTCAAAACGGCTAAGACAGCTCTTGTCCACTGAAAGCGAGGTTGATGATGCTGCTCTCATTTCAATAGACAGCAGAGGAATCGATATACGGGTTCGTCGAGGCGCTCAGGTATTATTCCATAGATTCTCGTTTTCGTGATGAAATCCATGCATTTTTGCAAATGGGGTGGAGATTGTATCTGTTTCCGACACAGCATCCTCAACTTATACATTTGATTGCGTTTGTGTGTGTGTGTGTCTTCAGTTCAACATACAAAGGCTGTCGTTTGAGGAAGGCCACGTGGTTGAAACCTTAGAAGAAGCAAAGGCTGCTCTCCAGGAAGTGATAAAGAAGAAGGGACAGAAGTTACAGAATTTGCAGAAATGACAGAACATAAGAGTCGGTTTATATCAGAACCCTTTTGAGGGGATACCAATCTAAGATAACTTTCTCGAGGAATTTCCGTCGTTCGGGTCATTTTTTTAAGCTTATTACCCCGTTTTTTTTTTTTTTATAACTAGGAGGTTTACTGGGCTTCCGCCCCACTTAATACTCATCTGGAATCATCCTTTAGTCACACAATTAATTACACCTCCTCCTTTCCATTGGTGGAATCGAATTCAGGACTCCGGACCCCGGTTTCTTGGCAAGTTAAGTTTGTTAATCAAATAGACAGCGAAATTTTCCCGAGACCCTTTATTTATTTCCTCTCTATTTGCACATTGTTCTTGCCCTTTTTGATCAGGTTGCGTACTGCATAGGAGGGTCATGGGGTTTAACATCTTGGCCTGATCAGATCAGGTTGCCCTTTTTGGTAATGTTGAACGGAAATAGTTATTGGCAACATTTCCTGAATGTATGAGATGGAAATTACTACAACATATTCAGACATGTGGAACAAAAGTAGATCAAATTTGATATCAAACAAAATCGAAAAGCCAATTGAATACATAAATAGCCGAATATAAAGACAATGTTTTTAGAAAAAACGAATGTTTTTTCTTTATAAAAAATGAAGTGGGGACTGAATTCGAATCTACAAACGGAGCAGAATATGAATCAAATCGAAAACCAAAATGATATAATTCTTAGAAATGGCTACCCTAATTTTGGATTAATTATTGAGGAAACATATTCTTTGTTGGCATATCAAAATGGGATGTTGTAAAAATTTGGGGAGTTTACTGTAAAATGTTTTCAAGAAACAAATATTCAAAATAAGTACCTGACTTTCAAAAAGTTTGAAATTTGTGCGCCCAGCTTAAATCCAAAGGACAAAAATTATTACATGACAAAAAAAACCCGAGGATGCCTTTTTTTTTTTCCCTTACAGACCCACTTCGTTCCAAGGACGTAGATGCAACCAGACAAATGCCCACACCGCAATCATTCCGCTAATACCGCCAACAGATCCAACGATCCTCACCGATTTCCCCATGTCGGAGGCCGGTATCTCCGCCGTCGTCGTTGTCACCGGAGAAAGAGGCTCGTCATCCCCACCGATAATGAAATTAGCCCAGGACCATATTTTCACCATCTTGCATCTTCTCCCCGTAGATTCGATCGTTTCCTTCTCCATGACCTGCAAGAGATTTCGAGCTCTTGCTTGCTCCGACAGTCTCTGGGAAGCTGTTTGTCGGCGGGAGTTGGGTCCGGTGCCGGTGGAGGCTCTGAAGTCCTCTGCTCGACATGGGTTCGCGTGGATGAAGCTCTTTGAGCGTGTTCGCAAGCTGGATTCGGTTTGCTGTCACAGAATCTCGAACCCAGATGGGGATCCTTCGTCGCCGAGCCCTAGGGCTTCTCATTCTCTCAACTTCCTGACTGATTATCTGGTTCTGTTCGGTGGTGGGTGTGAAGGAGGTAATGCCAAATCCTCCGTTCTTCATCCGTCAAATGTGAAGTTTAATATATATATTTTTTAGGGTTCTGTCTATTTGAGGGGACTGGAACATAGAGATGTGTGTTGGGCACACGCCGTTTTCTTTGGCGATTTTAGGTCATCGTTCTGCTACTCCAGACGAAGATTGATTTATCATTTGATTCGAATCCTGGGCTGGTCTCAGTCATGTCGTGCGAATGTTGAGCAGAATGTACCTCTTATGGTTGAAAAATTGCATGATTGTTACGGTAAATGGGTGTTTGAGCTTTGTGTAATACAAATGGCTGGTTTTTGCAGGACGCCATCTCGATGATACATGGACTGCTTATGTTGGTGAGAGCAATCACAAGATGCTTAAGTGGAGAAAGGTTGATTCGGGGACTCCGAGTGGGAGATTTGGGCACACGTGCGTCGTTCTCGGGCAGCAACTGGTTCTGTTCGGAGGAATAAACGACCGTGGGGACAAGTACAATGATACATGGATCGGAAG